GGAACGAGAAAAGCTAGAAAGCTGAAACCTTGGTGGAATGTTCCCTACCCGTGTATGACGAAAAGATTTCAAATTCAGCTGCTCAGGACTGCCCGAGGCTTATGTACGGGCACGTGAAAATTATGGCAGGAAAAGTGCCAACTCGGGAAAGGGAAAAGCTAGAAAGCTGAAATTTTAGGGGGGTGTTCCGTGCCCACTCATGACTAAAAGATTTCATATTCAGCTGCCTAAAACTGCCTGGGGCTCACGTATGAGCACGTGGAAGTTTTGGCGGGGAAATCACTAACCCGAAAGCGAGAAAAACTGGAAGGCTGAAACTTTAGGGGAATGTTCCCTATTCATGTACGACCAAAATCAGCTGTTTAGAGGCACCCGGAACCGACCTACGAGCTCATGGAAATTTTGATAGGAAAAACACTAACCTGAGAACGAGCAAAGCTGAAAACCTGAAACTTTAGGGGACCACTCCCCACTCATGTACAACCAAAAGATTTCAAATTCAGTTCCTTAGAACCGCCCGGGAATCACGTACTAGCGCATGAAAAGTTTTACGGAAGAATTGCCAACTCTGGAAAGAGAAAAGCTGGGAGGCTTTAATTTTAAGGGAACGTTCCCTGCTCATGTGCCAATAAAAGATTTCAAATTTAACTCTTCTAGTAGGGTCTTTTCCGTGGACCAACAACTTTCTATTTGTCGGGTCACTGAAGTCGACATCTACAACTGACATGCCACACAGCTGTACCATTCACTTCCCGAACTTCGAGGGCCAGTATGTCATAGGGCTAGGTGCTGCGATTCCTTGAGATCTTGCTAAGGCACGAAAAGTGCAAAGACTCATGATCGCACCGGCCCGCCTGGTGCGTTCTAGCCTGGGTTCATATTTGCTTTTGTCCTCATCACTTATTTTCCACGCTCAGACTCAGCGGGGCAGTAGGAGTACAACGACTTATTTTCAAAATAAACGAAATCCTGCAGCTCAGAGAGACGGCTGAATTTGATTTATACAGGGACAGAAATATGACAGTGGAAATTGGTCAGCAACATTTCCCGGTGGAAAATCCGTTGCACATCTTTGGTGACAAAGTGCTGTCTTTCGGATTAGTTATGAGAAGCCTGCTTTTTCATAGAGAGCAAATCACTGAACAGTTTTTGATTTTGACAAGAAATGACTTTATCTTCGACTCACGACACCCTTGTTCTACAATAAAAATGTTCCAAGACGGCGTGGGCGCATTTTTTCCCAAAAAAATTACAGTTCAACTCAGTCAAAAATTCTTTTAAGACACGGTACAGTTCATCGACTGGTGATGCTGATTGTCCATGCTTGCCGAATCTTCAACAATACCATCGCTTCCTGATATCAATCCTAGCTGGAACCTATGCTACCGCTTCAGTGATGGATAATCAACTTTATCCTGATGCTGTTTGTTTTCACAACAGAGGCAACGGTCAGTAGTTTTTTACTGCACGTTAAAAAACCTCAGTTCAGCCTGAAAATTGCCTTCATACGCTTTCCACATTCCCCTTTACTCCCGATTTCAGTTCTTTTTTTTTTTTTTGCCCCTAAGTAATATCATCCCTCTGGATCAGTAAAAATAGTAACAGAATGCAAAAAAAAAACTCTTGAAACAATGTCAAATTTTCGTTTCACTTGTGAACATATCTACCGAATCTCCTATACAAAAATATCCCATGGCATCTACTCCTGGTATTTACATGGATTTATTTCAACTATGTTATTTACCTGCACTGTTTGTCCCAAGTAAGTATAGTAGTTTACAGATTCAGCGAATTGTTTCTTTTATCAAATTCAGGGCAATATGCGCATTCTTCATGAACTTGAGTTTCATTTGTTGGTGAGGACGGAGAGAGAAAACACGAGGAAATATATTTTTGCTCTCAGTAAATATTATACTTGAGCGTTGTTCTCGGCTCTGCTGTAACTTGAGGATTAGCGTAAATTCATACTTTCCGCAGGAATTTAATTTATGATAAAATATCCTCAATAATCCGCTTGCTGTGAGAAGTGAAGGCATTTGGAAGAAGGAAGCACGTGGCAATACCTACCACACGCTGACAGGACTACTCATGGTTCCCATTTTCAATGGCAGGCTGACCACTAGATACCGATTTACCGTTGAAACAAATGAGCGAATCGTAAATGGATTAGCTAATTCACTGGCTGTGTTGAACTTTCATCTTGAGCTGATGAATAGTAACTAAATTACAGAAATTAAATTGAATTTTTTAAATTTGAGCTTCAAATTGATTCATTTTGCAGCAATCAAAGTGATCTTATCAAAACGTATTGTTAGCGAAATCGAAGATGCAAGAGAACAACAGTCTTCTACTTCCACTGTTGCAGCCAGTGGTTTTTCATGACTTCCAGTTCAATCAAATTTTTTTAACTTTTTTTTGATTTTTCCTTTTTTTGCCTTTCTGATATTATTTTTACGGCTTTTCCGAACTTGCTTTTTTCAGTCTTTTTTGTTTTGTTCTTTTTTCAACATTATTTTCAATTTTTTTCGGTCCAAATTCTCTCATTTTTTTTATTTTTATAATTTCTATCTACTATTTCTTGTTCTTTGAAACTCTGTTAAATTCGAACACTGTCGAATAAATAATCAATAAGAAGAATTTGGCTTTTCGTCATTTCCTGTTGAAAAAATCACTGAACACATTAGCAGCGACAGCTGCTGCATCGTGGTGGTATGCGGTTTAACAGTGTGGATAAGTGCTACTGGCTTGCCCACCCTTTTTGTTATCAAATTAACTGACAACCGGTTTTCGCCAGGTAAAACATGTTCTTGATGCATTTTTATGTTGATGTAGATGTAAATTCATGCGCATACACATACACGCATACATTCAACAATATGCAATAAGCATCCATGCAGACACAGACATGGGCACACGTACATACACACAAATACATATATGTACGCGCACAAGAATGTTTCCTAAACGAGAAGTAAGCAGGATGAGTTGCTGCTTGAGGGAGAAGTTCGGTTTCTTTCCAAGACCACGGTGAAGCCAGAACCGCTGAAGCGGAATGGAATTTTTGCTAGTTCATGAGCTAAAATAAAAGTATCGAATTTACGAATAGGTTCCAAAAAACAGGCAGCAAATGAAGTCGGAGGGCGCGGAACTGGAAAATAAGAAGCCCTCTTTTACTGGTGAGGGACGCAAATTTTTTAAATTTTTGCTCCTTCTCCAATTTGACATTTCTGAGAACTGTCGCACATTTTCATAGTAAAACACTTCTGTATGTGTGTGATAGGTGTTCGAATGCCGCTCTACAGTCAGGGTTTGGGAAC